GTGATCAATCTTGGAGTACATTTCATGTGGTGATGAGTAGGATATTTATTCTGTGGTTGTTGGGTGGAGTGTTCTGCAGATATCTTTTAAGTGCATTTGAATGAGCATCAATTTGAGGTTTTAGATCTCCTTGTTGAGTTTTGTCTCAATGATCTATCTAGGACTGTCTGTGGGATATTTAAGTCCCCAGCTTTGGTAGTGTTGGAGTCAATATTTTTTTTTAATTTACTTAGTAGCTGCTTTTTAAAAGTTGGTGCTTCTATGTTGAATGAATATATGTTTAGGATGGATATTTTGAATGGATTGAACCATTTATCATTATGTAGTGTCCTTATGTATCTTTTTTAATGTTTACTAGCTTAAATACTGTTTTGTCTGATATTAAGATCATGTCCTGCTTTCTTTTGTGTTCTATTCACCTGAAAATTTGTTTTCCATCCTCTAACTTTGAGTCTGTGAGTGTCCATTCTGTTGAGATGTGTCTCCTGGAGGCAGCATATTGTTGGATCATTTTAAAAATCTACTTTGCCATTCTATGTCTTTTCAGTGGTACATTTAGTCCATTCACATTCAGGCTGATTATTGAGATCTGAGAGTTTATACCTGTCATGAAGCTTTTATTGAGTTCATTGCTGTTGTTGTTGTTTATTTGTTGGTTTTATTTTTATTTTTGGTTGACTTATGTGTGTGCTTTCAATTTTGCAGTCACAAATACATGATGTTTGTTCTCTGTTTTCCTACATTCTTGGGAAGAGTGTGGTTGTTCTTTTTTTTCTTTCTTCTGTGCTTAGTACCTTCTTAAGCATCTCTTGTAGAGTTGTTCTGGAGGCAGCAAAAACTCTTCGGGACTGAATATCTAGGAAGGATTTTAATTCTCCATCACTGATGAAACTTAGCTTATCAGGAAATTCCTGGTTGAAATTGTTTATCTTTGAGAATTTTGATGGCTGTACTCCAGTCTCTTCTAGCCTGTAGTGTTTCTGTATATGGGTCTCCTGCTGTTCTAATTAGTCTTACCTAGTCAGTAGTCTGACCTTTCTCTCTCACTGCCTTAGATGCCTACTTTTAAACATAAATGTTATACATTATTCTCCAGAGGAAATTACCAAAAATCTTTTTAAAACTAGAGTACAGTCTCATGTTATAGCAAGATGAATATGAAAATTTAAAACCTCAAACAGAGCCGGACTCGGTGGCTCAGCCTGTAATCCCATGCTTTGGGAGGCTGAGGTGAGTGGATTGTCTGAGCCCGTGGGTTCGAGACCTGCCTGGGCAACTTGGCGAGACCTCATCTCTACAATAAATCAAAAAATCAGCCGGGCATGGTTGCACATGCCTGTAGTTCCAGCTACTTGGAAGGCTGAGGCGGAAGGATTGCCGGAGCCCAGCAGGTCGAGGCTGCAGTGGCTGGGAGCAGCCACTGTACTCCAGTCTGGGTGACAGAGTGAGACTCCAACTCAAAATAAATAAATTAAATAAAATCTCAAACAGAACATCCAATCAATAAATAAATATTTGATAATTCAAATTAACATTTCATGAAACAAATACACATATTGCTCAGCTCCAAAATAGCCATGATTTATCTAATAAACAAACAAAAGTATTGCTTTTAAGAATATCAGAATTCCAACCCTATAGTTACTTGAACCATTAGGGAATCATTGAAATAATGACAGGAATAGTGGAATTACTTTGTTCAAATAAATTACATAAATTATATGAATAATGACAAAAAATGTGTTTTTGAGAGAGGGAATGCTATTGAAATAATTCCACTGATGCTAAGTTGCATTTCATTAACATCATTTACCCAACATCAGTGTTTTCCAATTACCTACAGCCATATGCATATATAATACTTGTATACTTAAGATTATACATAATCACCTTTTGCATAAATATGCTTTATTATATAATAATCTATGCTTGGTTTGATCATATCATCTTTTAATTATATAACTTTCCACAGCAATGTCAGGGTATATAAATCTCTTTTAACAGCTACATAATATATTGAACCAATCTCTTGTCAATAGTTTTAATATTTCTAGGGGTTTGTTTGTTTGTTGCAACAACATTCCTGAATGAACATATTTGAGTAAACATCTTTGCACATTGTTATGCTTGTAGCTGAAAGATGAATTCTTTTTTTAAAAAATTTTTATTTTGAAATTGTGGGGTACAATTCAGGGATAGGTATACAAATGTTAATTGTGCAAATACCCTTATTAATGAGGTGTGCCCCCCCTTCCCCAAGTGGATATTGACTACCATCAATCCCAGCTTTCCTCCCCATCCCCATCCCCAGTTTCCCGCTACTTTCAATCCCTTTCCTACAGTAATATGGTAATTGTTCAAGGTCCACTTATGAGTGAGAACAGGTGATAATCATCTCTTTGATTCTGTGAGACAGCACTCATTATTATAAGCTCTAATTCCGTCCACGTTGCTGCAAAGTTCATGATTTTTTTCTTCTTTATGACTGTGTAATATTCCATTGTACCACATTTTTTAATCTTGTCCTCTTTTGATGGGAAAGATGAATTCTTAAACGTAGTACTTCTGAGACAAGTATTTCTTAATACATTTATATAGATATATATTTAGATTTTTACTTAAAATTTTTATAGACATAAATAAATTTCTTTCCATGAAGGTTGCCTCACTAGTTCCATTAAGAGTGTTTAACAACACTACCCTTATCACCATGGATGGAAAGATGTTTTTCATTTTTTGACTTTGCAAATTTAAATTGTGAGGTTAGATATCTTTTCACAGGTTTAAAAGTCATTAATGCTTAATTTTTCTTTCATCAAGCTAAGCACATCACTGCTTTAAATTATTCATTTTTTAACTTTCTTTTTTCCCAAACTTTATTATATTTAAGAAATTGAGTAGTTTTTTATCATATGTTTTACAAATATTGTTTCCAAATCTTTATTTTGATTTTATTTCTATGCAAAATGTCAGAGGATAATGTAATAGTTACATATATTTTTCTTTGTGGCTTCTGAATTTTGTGTCTTATTAGAGGCCAAACCTCTACTCTATTACTAAGTTTTTAAAAATGAAATACTTGAACATAATTTGCTTTCTGAAGCAGAATAAATCACTGGTTTAAATGTTATTTGTGCTATGAAGGTGCTTACTAAATTATTTTCTACATGAATTTCAAAGTCAAACCACTGCCCCACCTGTATTCATGTCATTGCTTTGTAATTAATGGCATCTGAATTAATAGGGATGTATGAATTTTGAAATGCAGCAAATAATTTCTCAACAAGGTTTATTTTCTGATGCACAGCTCACAGTAATTTTTTCAAGAGAAGGAGGAACTTGAGCTAGTTTCTCCTTCAGATGCCATTTCTCCAGAAATATATCATACCTCTTCCAAACTCTTAACTTTCTTTTCCAAACCCCAATATATTTTATCCCTTATGAAAGATTACTCAATTGTCACTGCACTGCAAAGGTATTATCTCAAAAATAGTGATTATGTATTTACTTTCACAAAAGAGGGTAGAGAAATGGAAGTGTATTCAGATTTAATAATGACTTCTTTATTAACCTATCATTGCCACCAGGCAGGGACCTTGTCTTAATCATCAGTGAATGCCAAGAATATATCACAATGCCTGATTAGGAGAAGTTTCTCAAAAGGCGTGTGAAAACAAAGTGAAAGAATGAATGATTGACCAAACTAAGGTTCATAGCCCAATCTCTATTATTGACTGGAAATGTGACCATACATGAATCCCTTCATCTTTCTGGACCTTCCTTTCTTTTACAAAACAAAATGGCAGAAAGAAAAGTAAGATAGTAGATTTGATAGCGGTTTGAAAAATAAAACATTCAGAAAATTGATACTATCTTCAATAATTTTGTCCTCCCACAAATTTATTTATTTTTATGTCTAGTCCAGAAATCTCTTCATGCTTTAAAAAGTTTTATGTATAATTTTTGGTTTATTTAGTTTGCTATAGATTTAATAGTAAATGTTATTTTGTAAGCTACATGATATTGGAAATGTTAACTATGTAATATTGATTATAAGAGTAAAATGTAGCTGGGCTCGGTGGCTCAGCCTGTAATCCCGTGCCTTTGGGAGGCTGAGGTGAGTGGATTGCCTGAGCCCGTGAGTTTGAGACCCGCCTGGGCAGGCGAGACCTCATCTCTACAATAAATCAAAAAATCAGCCAGGTGTGGTAGTGCACGCCTGTGATTCTGGCTACTCGGAAAGTTGAGGCGGAAGGATCACCAGAGCCCAGCAGGTCAAGGCTGTGGTGGCCGGGAGCAGTCACTGCACTCCAGTCTGGTCAACAGAGTGAGACTCCAACTCAAAAAACAAACAAAAAAAAGAGTAAAATGGAGGACAGAGAGAAAAAAATTTTATTGAAGGAGAGTGAATTGGCTAATAAGATATGATTATGTTGTCTTTATTATCGCCACATCAGTATTATTATTTAAAAAAAGGCTTAGACCCACCCAGGAGGAAAGGTACTATTGACAATAAAAGTGATACATTCAATATTATGTTTTATGTTTTTTTCATAATTTTTACTTCATTGTTAATTTTTATGTCTATTTCAGAAATCATTTGATTTTTCAGAAAGTTTTATGTGCAATTTTGTCTAGTTTAGTTCATCAGTATTATGCTCTGTTTAATTGATTGATGAGATAGATGAAAGATAGATAGATAGATAGATAGATAGATAGATAGATAGATAGATAGATAGATAGATATTCACATCTAGATTAGATATGGGCACATTAAAAATGTTATTGGATTTTAAATTAATTGCCAGCCTGAAAGGATCTTTGAATCCTCCATTTAATGTTTTTGCCTTTTATGTGGGAAACTGGGGCAGGTAAGCTTGATGATCTTGCTGAGGGAGAAAGATTTTGGGGAAAATAATGTGGTTTAAAAGAAAGAAATCTGATATATTCTAAAGCAGTGTTTATATTATATTTATTAATTTTATTCTATTTTCTTGCAGGTTTAAATGTTTATTTGGCTTCTTGGCTACTGATTGGAGAACACAAAATGAATAACTCAACAAACTCCTCTAATAATGGCCAGGCTCCTACCAGTCCTTATAAGACATTTGAAGTGGTGTTTATTGTCCTGGTGGCTGGATCCCTCAGTTTGGTGACCATTATTGGGAACATCTTGGTCATGGTTTCCATTAAAGTTAACCGCCACCTCCAGACTGTCAACAATTACTTTTTGTTCAGCTTGGCCTGTGCTGACCTGATCATAGGTGTTTTCTCCATGAACTTGTACACCCTGTACACTGTGATTGGCTACTGGCCTTTGGGACCTGTAGTGTGTGACCTTTGGCTAGCCTTGGACTATGTGGTCAGCAATGCTTCCGTTATGAATCTGCTCATCATCAGCTTTGACAGGTACTTTTGTGTCACAAAACCTCTGACCTATCCAGTCAAGAGGACCACGAAAATGGCAGGTATGATGATTGCAGCTGCCTGGGTTCTCTCCTTTATCCTTTGGGCTCCAGCCATTCTCTTCTGGCAGTTCATTGTAGGGGTGAGAACTGTGGAGGATGGGGAATGCTACATTCAGTTTTTTTCCAATGCTGCTGTCACTTTTGGTACTGCCATTGCCGCCTTCTATTTACCAGTGATCATCATGACTGTGCTGTATTGGCACATATCCCGAGCCAGTAAGAGCAGAATAAAGAAGGACAAGAAGGAGCCTGTGGCCAATCAAGATCCAGTTTCTCCAAGTCTGGTGCAAGGAAGAATAGTTAAGCCCAACAACAACAACATGCCCAGCAGTGATGATGGTCTGGAGCATAACAAGATCCAAAATGGCAAAGCCCCCCGAGATGCTGTGACTGAAAACTGTGTCCAGGGGGAGGAGAAGGAGAGCTCCAATGACTCCACTTCCGTCAGTGCTGTTGCCTCTAACATGAGAGATGATGAGATCACTCAGGATGAAAACACAGTGTCCACTTCTCTGGGCCATTCCAAAGATGAGAACTCTAAGCAAACATGCATCAAAATTGTCACCAAGACCCAAAAAGGTGACTCATGTGCCCCAACTAATACCACCGTGGAAGTAGTTGGGTCTTCAGGTCAGAATGGAGATGAAAAACAGAACATTGTAGCCCGCAAAATTGTGAAGATGACTAAGCAGCCTGCAAAAAAGAAGCCTCCTCCCTCTCGGGAAAAGAAAGTCACCAGGACAATTTTGGCTATTTTGCTGGCTTTCATCATCACATGGGCCCCGTACAATGTCATGGTGCTCATTAACACGTTCTGTGCTCCCTGCATCCCCAACACTGTGTGGACAATTGGTTACTGGCTCTGTTACATCAACAGTACTATCAACCCTGCCTGCTACGCACTGTGTAATGCCACCTTCAAGAAGACCTTTAAACATCTTCTCATGTGTCATTATAAGAACATAGGCGCTACAAGGTAAAACATCTTTGAAAAGAAGGAAGGTGGGCAAGGGGAGCTTGGGAAGAATAAAAGGGACAAAGAAAAGCTCCTAGTTTTAAAATTTCTGCCATTGCACTTTATAGTCTAATTATGGAACATGCAATCCAGGAGCCCAGCAACGACACTTATCTTGCCTATGTTGCAGTATGTGAAACTCGCACCTTATAAGCTGTCAGTTTTGGAGGCAAAGAGACAGTGAAAGAGACCTCCTGGAATTGTGAATTTAAGAAACAATCTATGCTTTTCCTATATTATCTTGAAGAAGGGCTTCTGAATCTACAATTTTATCAGCCTCTGCACAAGAAGAATAAACTCATTCCTTTCTTTGTTTTTTGTTGTTGTTCTCATGTGTCCATATGAGAACAAAATGCCACAGTTACAAGCTAACATGGAGATGTAAACATAAAGAAATAGACACTATACAATGGGGAGATGAAGAAAGGAAATCAAAAAAGAATGCAGAGTGTTAAGCATATTTGATTCATTTGTTATGGTCTTATTTGGAGGATTGCAATGTAATAAATGTTTAGTTTTTTTCACCTTTCCTTTTCACACTATAAAAAGAAAACAAACAAAAATACCCAACCTGGTCCCACCATTTTTTCCTTATTATGGCATTATTTTAGTACTTTCCTGTTCTACATTGTTATAGGCAAAAACTGCAGGACTTTGACTCTATCCAGTCAGACTGCAATGGAAATGGGCACTTCCCCTTTCTGGCTGTGTCCTTTGTGCTCCTTGGGAGTATGAGGCCTATAAAGATTTAGTACACTTATGATCCATTATATAAAAAGTTGTAACCAATCTGATTTTCTCCCAAATAGCCTTTTACTTTAACAGAAAAGCCTACATGAAACACAAACATGCTTGAGAAACCAAAGTCATTGTGAAATTGAGGCTTCATCAAATTAAATAATGGTCAACCTAGCTGAAGAAAGTTCACTAAGGACAGATGAATTTTGAGATGAAAAAATAGATGTTTGAGGGGTACTGTGTTTCCACCCAAGCCTGTCTGACACACATATGAAATGCTAACTTGTAAAACAGGAATTCTTGACTTTGTTAACAGGAAGGGGATGCTGCTTTATTGACTCGGAATCCTAAGCAGGATTAACATAGTCACCTGTCACCAGTGCCTTCTGGGTCAGTCCCAGGAGATCAAGACCTTCTATCCAATGCTTGCTAAAGGATAGTATTTAAATTATAACCAAGTGAGGCTTTCTAGAACTCTCTTATGACCCAGTGAAAGGAGAAAAATAAGATAATTCAGAAATATTTACTAAAACTACATGTTCCATATTCCTCGAATGGTCAATTCTCCCTAACATTATTTGACTTTGGTATTCTCTTCTTAATAGAATTATAGTAATCTTAGTGACAGAAATATAGTGGATAACTAAACAGGGCCAAATGAGCTCACAGAATCTGACAGAAGAGTGTAGGTGTCTGTCCCTATGTCACTTCTCACCATCTAATTTTAGACTATAACAAAATCACATCAGAGACTATTATCTAAATTATGGTCCCATATAGAATCTTGTCCATGTAGAGACTTGGTAAAAAAATAATCTAAATACGTGTAGGATTATACTGATTCACATTTGTATTCCACTTATTTTTTTCTTACACTATTTGCTATCATCTTCTAATCAGGTGTTCTAAAGATGGTCCAATCAAAAAATCAGATTTATAAATGGCTTTTCAAATTTCATATCTTAAATTAATGGGGTACTTGATATCTTGTCTAGTAATATTGATGAGAGTTAATGATGAGTCCATCAGTATTAGACCTTGGCACTTATTAGCATTATTTTGTATGACTTGCTTCATTGGTGACATCTCAACAATTTGGAGAGTTAAAAAAAAACAAAAGCACAAATAAAACAGCCACAAAAATGTTGTAAGTTATTAATAAGAAAATTTCCAACAATACTTGTACTTAACTTATCCTCTATAAAAATATTTTCTTAAGTAGTATCAGTCATTTCCCCCTCCCAAAATTTTCCATGTATAAACTGACAGCATACATTTATATAAACCCCTTTACAGTTATTTTAAATTTTTTCATTTTAAATTCATATTTATTTTTATATTGTTTCTTCAAATCAATGAATCAAGTAAGTGGGAATGACATCAAATCAATGGGTGACTTAGTTTCAGGATTCAGGGTCTTTTTTTGTTTGCTCTAACAATCCAGCTCACCATGCGTCAAGCTGTACTGATTTTCCTTTGCCATTGTCTCATCCCTTTCTTCTCTTCGTTCTTGACCTTCACCACAGCCACCACCACCTTATTGAAAGAGACACTGTTAAGTTAAAGAAAGGAATGAAAGACACACTGACACACATAGAAACCTCGTCAAACAGATCAGAAAAATGAGAGAAATACTGAAATGGTAGATGGATTGAGAAATCCAAAGGCTATTTTCAAGAATTTGTACCAACTGTTGCTGGATTTGTCTGTTTCAATGGCTCCCAACCAAAGACAATTTTTCCTCATGTGGACAGTCCACAATGTGTGGAGTCATTTTTGATTGTCACAACTGGGAAAAAGGCAATAGCTATCCAGTGGGTAGAGGCCAGGGATGTTGCTAAACAGCTTGTAATGCACAGGGCATTTTACCGTACTTTCTCCAAAAAATGTTTGGCTAAAAATGTCAATAGTGCCAAAGTTGAGAAACTCTTGTCTATTTCAAGATATTTCTTTTTTGGAAAGGGCACCTAAATAAAAATACTATTTATTTCTTTAAAAATCAATATATCCAACTGAAACATAAAAAAGTTTTGCAAAATACTGGTTATGCAGGCTGTAGAAAACATTTGCATGGGACATGAAATCAGTTTAAGAAAAATGTTTGAGTCTTTAGCACTGAAGGAACTTGGCTTTATACCAATAATAGCACAACCACAAGAAATGCAGCATTGGAGATGATTTTACCTCTCTGAAGTATAGATGTGGTACTTACACAGCAAATGGAGTTTGGGAACATTTATGTTTTAGCCACCCAATCTAAAAGCAGAATTCCATGCTTGCTGCCCATGTAATTCAGATACAGAGTCACATGCAGGTACACGCAATGAAACTTCCAGAGCTAATCTAACCTCTTAGTTGAAATTCACATATACACATGAACACAAGCGTTAATTTTCATGGCACACATTTGCAAGTAATCTTTCTATAGAAATAGCCACAGCATTATAATATTCAAAATATGGAAGACAGAATTTTCTAGTGGGATTTATAGAGCTTGCCTACTATAAATAAGAAAATAATCCTGCATCACTTTTAGAATAACCATGCAAATTGCTCACCTGTTTGCAAAAGGTAATGCTCACCAATCATGTGTCAGAAACATTCAACTGTTGAGTCTGCTATATGTGTAATTCATAGATTAGGAACACAGGCCACATCTATATATCAAAATCACCAGACTACGCACAGAGCACATTAGTTCCAGAATCTAAATGTTTGATTATAATTGTCACGGAGTCTTGTTAATTGAAATTGCAGTCATTGGCTCTCAGAATGGTTGCAGTTGATGTGGTCAGTTTCTACTGGAGCTGCAATTTTTCATTTCAGAAACATCAAGAGCCTCTTTTAGAAGCAATATGATTCATCTTCCTTGCTTTCACTGGAAAGATGTCAAGTCTTTATTTCTTCTCTCCTCATAGCAATAATGTAAATATCCCAGAATGGTCTTATAAGAATCTGGGGGGAAAATCTGCTTATTTCTTGAAAACAAGAAATGATTTCCCTTTAAGCAGTTCACCTCTAATTTAATACCAGTTCCCACATATTAGGATAAAGTCCCCAATATAATAAATCACAAGAGATGACCTTTCTAATTTGAAATGTTAAGTTGGAGATCCAACATACTCCTACTCTGTCTACACATTACTTTTTTTTTTATCCTGAAGATTTGATGCTGGGAGAGAAGGGAGTTCAAAATGATGGAAGCAATTACACAGCAATGTTGTCTATTTTTATTTTCTCCTACTTAGATCATTGATAGTTACCTCCCCCAACCCAGTGTGATAATATCCTTTTCAGCAACCATAGCACTGGTGTTGCAAATAGATTAGGAAAGCACCCAACACTGGATGAAATTGTGCAAAGTGTATTTTCAGCATGTATATACAATACCATGCCTCTTAAATATGCTTCTCTTAAAGGGTGCACGCTGTAGCATGAACTGTGTGCAAAGTTAATGTAACTTCCTGGAATATGCTATATGCTTAATATATATTCTATAAAGAAAATAATAAAATGTATAATAGAAATACATATTTCTGTATGCAAATAAATATATTATACATAAAATATTAAGATGTAATGTGGTATATGTTGCTTTTGAGTAACAAAAGTAGATTTTATGTCCCAAATTTTCAAAGAAAGTAGTATTTGCACTTAAAGGAAGAGATTTAAGAATAGCCAGTCTAACATATATTAATATTAAACTGTTTTATAGTTTTTTTAAGAGCATGGCACTGATTTTAAATATCTCTTGAGGAAGAAGTTAATAAATCTTTGCGGGTCTTAATCCACGTGACATTTTATTCACCTGCCCCCCCGCCAGGCCTGTGACCAGAATCTTCCCAGCTGATATGGCTTCAGCAGCTGTGCTCCCTCATGTCTGATTGCCTGATGAGGTTGCAACCAACTCATGCTCATACAGTTTTACTCTCTTCCAAATTAACTGATTTTAGTGGAATAAAAGAATAATCATAGTGGGAGAATGTTCTTTATTCTGACAAACAAGGTGTAATATGTATAAGTACCATATTTTATAACTCACCCTATTCAATTTGGGTCTAATACAACATCCCATATATTCAATACTAAAAATGTTTAATGTAGTATTAGAAATTTCCTCATGGAACTCAAAGTAGCTGGTTTGTTTCTAAGTGTCCTGCATATTCTCCATAGCAATCCTATTTCTTTTCCTGTTGTCTTCTCAACTATTCACATTTCTCAGAACATTATCTTTGGTCTGTAGTTACCTAATAGTATTTATTATGACACAATTCACCCCATGTAAAGTGGTGTTCTTTATACCAAAGTCGTTTCTAGAAAAAAAAATTGAGATTTCTATTAGTTTCATATAGTTCCAGTGAAATGTTCTCATTTTATTTTTGAGAATTTGATTTGAATCCCATATAGGTGAAGTGTTGAATGCTCTTCCTCAGTAAGTGAGGGCAAACACTGAAGCAAGAAAAACTTTTTGCCATTATTAAGGAATAATTTTCACCTTATGATATGTAACAGTATTTTTCCACCAAAATGGAAGAAACAGAATGTGGTGAGTTGTAGAACCTGGGTATTTATTAAATAGGTCATCACATTCTAGAAAAATCAATTTCCTGGTTTTTTAAATACACACTCACATAATCAATAATGAGAAATTATAAAGAAATAAAAACGAATCTATCTACTGTATTTGCAACAGATACCCAGAAATTTATCTGAATTCCTAAACTATACCTTTACTGGCACTGTGAGTACCTTTTGAAGTTTTCTTGAAAGATTTTTTGGTTTTTCTTTTTTAAAGAGTTTTCTTTTCAAGTTATTATTATGAAATAAGAGATGACATTAGTGAATAAATTATATGTCTATATCCAGAAAGAACTACAATGAATTTCAAAGGTGGTTCATTTAAATCTAGATAATATAAGCCGATCATCAATCCACAATTCTTTTTTTTTTTTTTTTTTTGAGCTGGAGTCTCACTCTGTCACCCAGGCTGGAAGGCAGTGGCATGCTCCCAACCACCGAAGCATCTACATGCTGGGCTTAGGCTTTCCTCAGCCTTCCAAGTAGTTGGAACTATGGACATGTGCCACCATGCCTAGCTAATTTTTTTATTAATTGTAGAAATAAGGCCTCTACAATTGCCCAGACTGGTCTCAAACCTGCAGGCTCAGGCAATCCTCTCACCTTGGCCTCCCAAATGCTGGGATTATAGGCAAGAGCTATCATGCCAAGCCTAAAATCCACAATCTTAAGAATCAGAAACTCTTTGAGCACTGACACAATGCACAAAGGAAGTGCACATTGGAGCATTTTGTATTTCATATTTTTGGATTAGGGATATTCAACTGGTAAGTACAATGCAAATATTCCAAACTCTAATAAAACTCAAAATCTGAAACACTTTTGATTCCAAGCTTTTCAGATAAGGAATAATCAAACTGTAGTTCAGTTATTTGTATATGAAAATATATTGTAATCCTCTCCATCCTTAAAATAATTTTCTTTAATATTGTGAATCTTGCTCTCCTTACTGCCCTTGTATGCAAAGCAAGGATTACACTTATGATGTGTATATTTACTAAGTGATATGATCTTATGCCATAGGTCAGTGGTTCTCAAATTTTAGCCTGCAATAGAACCACCTAGAAGACTTACTGAAGCATACATTATTGAGCCCTGCCCCAAGTCTTTTGACGCAGTAAGTCTGAAGTGAAGTCTGAAAATTTAGGTTTCCAACAAGTCCCCAGGTGATCCTCATATTTTCTCTCACAGGAAAACTTTAGTGCCATGCTCTTAACATAAGAGATTAAAAATAACCACATTGATGAACTTACCTTGAATCCACTTTCTGTTGATATGAGTCTGCATAATTTACAGAGAAAAGAAGTTTGGCTCACAGTTCTGGAGGCTGTAAAGTTTGAGATAGGGCTGTAGCATCTGATGAGAACCTCAAGCTACATCATAACATGGAGGATGGCATCACCTGGTAACAGCAAATGCAAAGAAACAACATAAAAGGGGCAACATCACTTTACAACAACCCAATTTTGCAGAAACTAGCCCAGTTCTGCAAGCACACGCTCACTCACCTGAGATTGCATTAGTCTTCTCATGAGGACATCCCTCATAACCCAAACTCCTCTGATAGGCTGATAGGTCCTAACATCTTGTTAACACTGTTACAGTCAAAATCAAGCATCAACATGAGTTTTAGTGAGGACCTAGCATATTCAAGTGATAGCACAAACCAAGGTTTCAAGACAAATACAACAGAGGCTTGTATTCTATGATATCACTACCCAAAGGATATCTTAAGCATACATTTCTCTATGATCATCTGCATCATGTATTTTCCATGAATTGTGTATGCACACATATTTTTATGTGAATATTAAGAATGAATCTTTCTGTTATTATGTTGATTAAAATTACTGTCAAGTCAAAAATATTTTCATTTAAGAAGTAATTCATCAACTGCTCATTAAAACACAGACACATGCATAGCCACACACACTCAGGTACATATTCACATATGTGCACATATAAATACACACAAAAACACACATATATGCACATAAACACATACAATTCTCACCTTGTAGATCTTGACAGTG